AACCCTTTTTCAACCTTATTTTCAACTTGGGGCAATTTTTTCAATCAGCTTGATTGAACATTTAAAAGAAAGTGAACATTTTTCAAAAATGGGCGGATACATAAGCTTTGACCCTTATCTAATCGTAAACTAAGCGCAGATACATCCCTTCTAAAGTCCTAATTGAATTAAGGTTTACTTCGAAAGCATACTCGGTGAGATAATGTTTCCTGACTCCTATTGAGTTATGCTCGATTTTCGTTGGCTTTATAAAAATTAATTTATATCCTAACTAGTGATTTCGGTCACCAATTATTGGGATATCTCTTTTCAAAACTTCAAGACAAACATATATGTTGCATTAACGGTTTCAGAATTAACATTTCATACGTGTTGGTCTTTGCCGAGGTCATAGAAGGTTTTGTATATGAGCATCAACATTAAGTGTGTTCTATTGGAACTTGAAGATCCTGCTGACCTGGGGCAAGTTATTTCCAAGTGATTATTCTGTGCAGATTTGAATTCGCTTAAAGAGCTGTGTTTAAAGACTCAGTCATAATACCATCAATCACGGCCAGTTACGTCGAGATTCGGCGAATCTCTCCAGAGAGTTTGAAAACAATGGGACGCCGTGTTTTCTGTAAAATCCTCTTGGATTGACCTTCTTCTCATTACCATATGGCTTGGGGCATTTGAGAAACAAAGATTACCTTATCCATGCACAACAACTATTATTGAAATGGCGACTATTATGCAATTCATCAAGGTAGAACTACTTTGTTGTTACAAACATTCTTCATTCATGTCCCCGGTAAGTTTTATTTCTGGTGGTCATGACAAATCTCCGATGAAGATCTCAGATGCATAATCCCTAGTGATTTGCTCAAACTTCATTTCCCCAATGAAGTGGATGACATTTTTAAATCCTCAGCGAATCTTCTCCAACTTCACCTTCCCAATGAAGTGGATGTGTTTTATTCCTCAATGGACCTTCTACAACATCGATCTTCTCCAGTGTGAGTCTCTCTATAAAGCGGATATTTATTTTATCCATGAAGTTTTTACAGTTATGAGTTTGATCCTCCCCTAGTGGATCTTTATCCTCGCCTTCAACAGGATAATCTTTCAGACTTATCAAGAGGTCACGTCCCCAAGTGGAATGTTCTCCATTCCCTAGAAGAAGTTTTTGAAACCTCGAAGCAGGATGGTGATCCCGTATTCAGTTCTCCACCTATCCACAAGTGATACTCCTATCTTCGAAGATTGGTCGGATGTTTGTTCCGAAATGTTTATTTCATCTTCGTCTGCCTCCTTTCGTTTGTTTTGTCAGCATTGGCATACGCATAGCATATAGATAGACAGCATGACATGTGCATTTGTTTGCATTCTTTTTGTTTATTTTATTCTGTCGCTTTGGCTGTAGTTATCCCTAGGTGTTTGGGTGCGTCTTAACCCTCCAATTAGATTTGTCGACCCTAGGCAGAAAAAGCACAATGTTTCATTTTTCCCCATGGAGTTCAATCCTCATGGAAGATGGTTATTTTAGTACAATTCCATTTGAGTTCATACCTCAATGGTCGAGTCTTGCTTGACAGTTTCTTTTCGGCTACTTCCCGAATCGAACTTCGGTTTTTGGCAATCACATCATGGACGTCTCCAACCTTTGAACATGGATTAAGTGTGCATTTATTTTGCACCCTATTCCCCCAGGAAGAGTATTCATGAAGATAGACATTTCTTCAACAAATTTTTCTCGAACATCTACATTTGGACTATAACAATCTCTTTATTTGAGCAACTCGTTTTGATCAGGATCTTATTCAAAACGACAAATGACAGTTTTCACAAGACAGATCATTTACCCTCAGTGGGTCCTTCAATATTATTGATTCATCAGAGAAGACAGTTACAGACATTTCTCTTTATTTGAGAATTCGCGCATTTTTACAACAACTAAGACATTCCTCAGGAATGACTTCCCCAGTGAGTTCATCACATAAGTTTACTTCCGTCAAGTGACATCTCCCCGAAGAAGTCGAATAAGTTTATCACATCAGTCTCCCTTTGTTTTGAGAAGACATACATTACAACTCAACCGACTCACATCTCTTCCGAGGATCCCCGGTGAAGCCTTACATTTATAACTACATTTACAAAGAGCTACAAGATCTACAACAACAGATTACATCTACAAATTACATCAACAACATTTACCATCTACAAGTTCAACGACTACAGTCTACAACAACAACTACAGTCTACAACGACAACTACAGTCTACAACGACGATCATTCGAACATCTTGCAGTTCCTGGTTAATCTCGGCAGTAGATTCCCAGAAGACCTCGGCAGTAGGTAGTCCTATTTCAGTTCCTGGTTAATCTCGGCAGTAGATTCCCAGAAGACCTCGGCAGTAGGTAGTCCTATTTCATTTCCTGGTTAATCTCGGTAGTAGATTCCCAGAAGACCTCGGCAGTAGGTAGTTCTATTTCAGTTCCTGGTTAATCTCGGCAGTAGATTTCCAGATGACTTCGTCAGAAGTATTTCTCCAACAGACTTCAACACAGGATCTCGGCAGTAGATTCCTTACAGATTTTAACAGTGAATATTTCGGAAAAAGTATTCTCAATTACAGTTACAAGTCTCGACAATAGACTTCTCCAGCTGACATCTTGAAATCATTACATTTGACACATACAGTAGATTACTTAAATTGTTTTTCTCATGAAATTCTTCATAGCATATTTACAAACACTTTGTGATTGTCAATCTTTCCCCGTGGAGTCTCGCTCTCATGAGCCCATTCTTCCCGTGTATCGCGTCTAGTTGTTCCCCTGTGACATCATTTCCTCACAGGACCCGTCTGTCTTGCACTCTCATATCATTGCATGCCATATGCATTTGGTGGTATCTTAAGGCTAAAAATTCACGCAATGTTTGTATTTAAGTCCCTCCTATCTCGTCGAGACAGAGATTTTAATCTCCATATCTCCAGATAGAAGTAACTTAAATAGGGGCATCTGTCACACCCTAATTTTTGACCTTAAGATCCCGCCCCCTTAGGTGTTTTATTATGTTTTATCTTTCACCCCTATGCATGTATTTATCATGACTAACAAACGCGTGCAGGTTTATTTTGGCTTTGATACATCTCTAACGTTTTTATGTAGCCTTCTAATGCGAGATGATGTAGTTTCAAGATGCAGGTTCATTCATATGCACTTCCAACCTAATCAGTGGGTATGCTAAAGTTGGAGCACCCGGCTGCAGGAAATCATTAAAGGTCGTGTTCCCGTAGAACACGATTTATTGATTACGGATACAAGAGCATCCAATTCAAGCACCCAGTTTTCATTTGTATTCTAAAGTTTCAAGAATTTTGCTCTCCAAATCTTGTTTCAAGACTGGTCATGACTTAAGTTTCATCGGGAAAATTCATCATCTGAAAATTTCAAGTTACAAGGAGGTTTTGGTTATATCCTTTTTTAGTTCTAATTTGAGACAGATTGATAAAGTAACATAAAGTGGTCGCGTGAAAAATGGAGAAACTGTTACAAGAAATTCTGAACTAGGTAAAATTATATTTGTTCCAAATGCCATGGAAAATTCGAAGGCTCGTGTCCAATTTTATTTCAAAGAGCTATCGTAATTCAAGTACAAATTTAAATTGATTTACATGAAATTGTTGAAAATGTAACAATCAAGTTCTTGCTGTTACAAGTTCAAAACTACCACGTCCCCTTTACATCCACTTTTTACAAGGAGCTCATGTTGTAATAGGATGAAAGAGTTTTCAAAGCCTCCAACAGCGGTTTCGTTCCAGAACATACAACAGAACTAGATTTGTTTCTAAACAACGGTTCCTTTTCACGCTTCAACGACGAGAGGACCATCTCACGTTCAGAAGCAACGCGATTGTGATAATTATCATAAGCCCCGGTGATGCTAGTCGTACGCCACATACACAAATCCGCAGCTTTGAGTTTGAAATTGGTAGAACGCCAAAGAACAATGCTCCATGACCTCGCTTCAGCAGCCTGCAGAACACAACAGAAAGCCTGCGCACAACAACACAATATCAGAGAAAATACTAGAAGACCAGGATTTCCATTAACAAAAATAAAAGAGGTATCATGTAACTGATAGAGGAAACCGTCATCGTTTGTCTTGGATAGCACCTTTATGACTTGCCCTGTGCACATGTCCATTCACTGTTGCTGCAATGTAAATCTGGAGGAATATGAGAATTCCTTAAAAACCTCACGAAAGCATTCCAAAATATATGATGGTATTCACGCGGTAGCAAAATATTACACAGGCACATCAAACATTCAAAAATATAAACTCATCATCATCATCGATTATAAGCAATACTCATCAAGCAAGATATGGAATATGTCAGTCACGCAATCACTAACAAAGACAATGCTCAAATATATCAGCAATTTACAAGACATAAAGTAATGCATAAACGACATGTCACAGGAAGAGCTTTAATTCAAGTCTAACTAAAGGAACTTTTGACATAATCTAAAGAAGATCAAGTTCAAGGACTTGTGAAGAATAATGATTGAATTCCAAGTTGACTCTCCAATTGAGCAGGTGCTTATGCGGAATGTTGCGTTTGTCTTTCTGCCTATGAAGATGATATTGAATTAAGACAATTTCCTTATCATCACCATTTCCACTGTGGCTGTGCAAACAGATGGCTGCATATTAATACAACTCACCCCTCTGCATGTACGAAAAGTTTCTAGGAACTCTGTTGGAATTTGTGTGCTTCAGTACATGAAATAATCATTTTGAGGCAATCAATAAGCTACTAAGTTTCCAGCCTGAGGATGAGTTGATGGTACGACCTGCTAAAAATATGCAGAAAATGGTCCAGTTGCCAGTGATGTATCTATTGGTCAAGCTGCAGGCATGGATTACACCCGATCACGACTACAATAACACTAGGTATCATTCATTCACAACACCAACAACCACTTTGTTCTTGTGGTTCAAAGTTGAAACGCAAGATGGAGTTGACTTTAACCGAACAAGATGCGGCTCATTGGGTTTACAGAGGTGAAGGTGCTGCTAATATTGTTGTCTCATACACTGGTTCCTCTCCTTCTTATATTGGGAAAGTGATGCGCATTCGCAAGTCTCCAAGGAAGGCATCAACGTTGCCGGGATTGAGGAATACCATAGCTCTGTCTCCACATGAACGCCTCATCTGGAAAGAAGTACACGAACTTATTTCCTCTTCAGATAAGGAAATTGCTGGCCAACTATATATCGATCATGTCATGAAGCCTTTGCTTGGATCCAAATATGTTGATGCTGGGACTCACATTCTGGTGACCAAGAAATTCCTAGAGACTGTTGAGAAGAATATTGATAGTCAGCGTCCTGCTTGGCGAATTGATGTTTCCCAGGTGGATAAGCAATGTGATTTTGCTCTTCTCATGTCAGATCATTCGATCTTCCCTCAGGGTAGTCAAGGATCTAGCTGCAGTATATCAGTTGAAATAAAGCCTAAATGCGGATTTCTTCCACTTTCAACATTCATATATGAAGGAACTGCTATCAAAAAGAAGATAACTCGATTCGAAATGCATCAAGCTCTGAAATTGCAACGTGGAGAGATTTCACAGCGGAGTGTGTACAACCCACTTGATTTGTTCTCAGAATCAAAGGAAAGAGTTCATAAAGCTATCAAAAATCTCTTTACTACCCCTCAAAACAATTTCCACGTATTTTTGAACGGTTCTCTCATACTCGGAGGACTAGGAGGTAGTGCTGAAAGTACAGATGCATGTATGGCTAAGGTACTTGAAGATGAACTTCACTCGTTTATTCAAGCTGGCAATGGAAAATGTACAGAGAACTTATTTACTCTTGTTACTGAAGCTGTGCAAAAATCAGGAGTCTTTGATCAGCTCCTGGAGGTTCAGAAGCTTGGTCGTTTTGACATAGAAGGAGCTATCCATGAATATTATAACATTACTTTTCAACAGTGCAAGGTGTGTAAAGAATTGAGTAAAGAACAGGCAAAAAAAATATTCCTCTTTGCATTCTGCGTCATTGGACGAAAGCTTGAGAATCGTAAAGGACTACCTGATAGCAGCTACTGCAAAAGACTGCAGTTTGATGGTATGTTTTAGACCAAGGAAAGAGAATGATTCTGGATCTTCTTACAATGCTGTACATCTTGAGTCAACTAAACAAGCCTTTAACTATAAGGTGCATTTTATCGACCTTGGTTTAAAGCGATTAAATAAAGTGGAAGAATACTATGAGTTAGATAAGAAGATAGTGAGCTGCTACAAAGAGATGAACAAAGTAGATGATAGAAGAATGACCGTAACACTTCAGGAAAGGCCACTGCAAGTCTTCAACCACAACTATGGCAGCCATCTAGTGGAATATTGATGACTAACGAGATAGGTGAAACTAACCCCGAGGATTCTGTGTCATGTTTTGCACTGTCCAAGAATGACTCTTATGTTATGTTTGCTTCTGGAGGAAAAATTTCCCTGATTCAATATGATGACATTCAAGACGATGACAACTTTCATGCCACCACCACCAACAATTCATCCTGGGATGTCCGTCTTCTGGCCCAATTCGTTTGCTTTCTACACCCATCAAACATCAAATATAAGTTAGCAAATTGTTTGGGGAATATACCATTGGAATATCCAACCTAAATCCAAAACAAACCCCAGACATTTTATCGACACAATTAGACGAAAATGGAAATCTTCTTAACAGAATTACAAGTGTGGCAGTACCTTCCGAAACAGTCCTCAAACATGCCCCGTCGGATTTGGAAACTTCATTATGCCTCTTGAATTTGCATTACTCCCCACAGCCCTATATAAAAACCGAAACGGATGAATGATGATGGGGGGAGAAATTCACAATAATTCACAGAATTTCACAGAAAATCCCAACCAAAAAAACACATAAAACTTCCAGAATCCTAAAACCACAAGAGTTGTACAAAGAAAAATTATCTCATATTCTTCCTCCGTCGGAAACCAAATCCGTAATCTCGACCGCAAATCTCCACCACCAAAACTCCTTCAGAATCCTCGCCTTTCTCCGTGAATCTAACACCACCGTGGGCCGTTTCTTCATTTTCCATCGCCGGAGAACATCACCTAAGCCATCGTTAAAAACCTGCGAGAGGAAGATCCTGAGATTACTTAACACTTTATGTCGTTTTCAGTTTGTTTGTTTTGTACAGGAATAATGGAGGCGATGCAAAAAAGAGGAAGGAGAAAGGAGTTCGAAGAAGAAAAGGGTGAACTCGAAGAAGAGAGAGAACGTCGGATCGAAGAGGGTGAGTGATTTTCAATTTGGGGATTTTGGGGGGGGGGGGGAATTTAGGGTCTCCGTTTTCCTTATTTTTGTCTCAATTGTAATGTAAAACCTGCTCATACACAACACCACTAATTACCTACACCACCCACACACAATCTCCCTAAAAATCGTTAATCACCCTAAATCAATCTGTTTTTATTATTATAACTATAACTTTTTTTAAATAAACTAACAATTTTTTTTAATCATAATCATTATCTAATTAGTCCACCTTTTAATTAATTCACCTTAATTAATAATTAATTATTTTACCTTTTTGTTTAATATTTCCAGTTAATCCATCTTTTATCTCAATAACTAAAAACTCTTTTTTCATAAAATTAAATCATTTTGAATCCTTTTATTAATTAAATTTAAGTTAACCTTTTTTCTAAATCAACTTAATAACTCTTTAGTCATATTATTTATTCACTACAATAAAAAAAACCTTTTATAAACGATTTACATTTAATTGCCAATGATTAATAATAAAGCCTATTTAGTGTTTTATAGATAAACAATAAAATATCTTTTTATATAACCAATATAATCTAATTCAACTCTTAATAATAGCCGTAAAATAAAAATAAAACATTTCACTTAAGTTTTTTATAAAAAGTCATCTAGCACATTATAACCTTTTACCTAAACTTAAAACCAATCAACATCATAATTAACCTAATCGTGCACACTCACTACACGATTCACTCACCTACACCTTAGCGCTTTCATGCGTGTGTATGGCTTTACTTTCTGCAATTTATCTTTCGCAATTTATCTTCCGCAATTACATTATCACAATTTACATTTCTGCATCGCATCCGTCCAAAGGAAGAACCTACACATGACTTAACACTCGTGTGTATTACATATGTATCATTTTCCCACATGATCCTTAATCCCATTCAAGTTGATCTCTAGGACAGATCCTACCCCATAGGAGGACTGTTGTCTTTACTTTACAACATAGAAACAAACACAAACAAATAACACAACTTAAACACATTAGAGAAAGATGTTAATCATCTTAAGCGAGATAGAATCTCCACCCCACAACAATACAACCTCTTACACCTGTGGCGGTTACATCTCCCTTAAAATGACAACGCATTTCTTCTCCTAAACCCAATCAATCAACTACCCTAAACCTGTAGGAACTTTGACCACAGTCAAAGAACTCCTCTAACCTTTTAGGGGAACTACAAATACTCTGATTCCACTCCCGTAAGGATATGTAGGCATAAGATGCGATATCTTATCGAGTATACTTAGAAATAAACCCATTAAGCAGATAAACCATAGCAATAAACAACATAAAATAAGAGGTTCCTGTAGAGTACTACAGAAACTTAGGATGCTAGTACCTTCCCTAAGTTTAACCGACCCCCGAACCTAAACTCTCTAACCTTGCATTTGCATTGCATTGTGGGAATTTCGATATTTATCCCTTCCTTTATACAAATCAAAGATCGGTTGCAAATTGAATTAAAGATTCAAACTAATCAATAGTTTGGTATCCGATTTTCACCGCGACAGACAACAATATACATATTAAATAGATGTCCAACGAAGAAGCTTGAAGGAATCACACCAGAATAATGTTGATCTGGCATAAAGCCTAGCCTCAGTCACTTGAATTTGTTTGGATATATAACATATAGACTTGTTCCAGATTAATTAAGATGGAAGCTTGAGGACAAGTCGAATCAGATGATCTTGATAGGATATCATTTGACTGGAGGTTACAAGCTGTTCGACCCAGAATAAACAGGTAGTAATCAGCAGGGACATGATATTAGATTAGCTTAAGGAATGAGATTAGACTGAGAATGTTAAGAAGGATTCAGTGAGAATATTTTTTGAAGAACCAGCTAGTGAAGTTGAAAGAGAAGTTTAACTAGAAGAAGTCAGAGGTGAAGCAGACCCAAGCAGACCTCGACGAACAAGACACATTCCTGCAAGGTTGCAAGAGTGTGTGATTACATCAAATAATATGGTCGATGAAGAAGATGAGCTAGTGCACTATGTTTTTTATGCAGATGTCGAACCAGTCAATGCAAATGAGGCATTGAAGGATTCAAAGTGGGTGAAAGTTATGAATGAGGAGTTAGAGTCCATCGAAGTCAACAATATTTGGTCACTTGTCGAATTTCCTCAAGGCAAGAAGGCAATTAATGCGAAATGGGTTTACAAGGTGAAAGTGAACCCTAAAGGAGAAGTAACTAGACACAAGGAGAGACTTGTAGCGAAAGGATTTTTCAGAAACAAGGAATAGACTTCGACGAAGTGTTTGCACCTGTTTCTAGGATCGAAACAATCAGGTTGGTTGTTGGTCTAGGAAATATGAACAATTGGCACACATGTCAGATGGACGTGAAGTCTGAACTTTTTAATGGCCCTTTAGACGAAGAAGTTTATGTTGCACAACTAGCTAGGTATGTGAAATGAGGCGAAGAAAGAAAGGTGTACAGACTGCATAAAGCCCTGTATGGAATTAAGCAAGCTCTAAGAGCTTGGAATAAGAAAATTGGCAACTTCTTAAGGGAGAAGGAATTTGTTAAGTGTACAACTGAGCATGACGTGTATGTAAGAAGGAGCAGTAGTGAATTGCTTATACTATGCCTATATGTCGATGGCCTGTTGAGAACAAGAAGTTGCAAGAAGGAGATCGAAGATTTTAAGCATGACTTAAGTGAGGAGTTTGGAATTTCATACTTGGGAAATCTCTCATATTTCCTTGGCATCGAATTCTACAAGATTGGTAGAGGTTTGATGATGCACCAATGAAGATATGCAAGCAAAATACTCAAGAGATTTGAGATGCAAGATTACAATCCAACTTCGACTCTAGCTGAGACCATATTGTAACTGTCGAAAGATTCAGATAATGATGATGTCGACCCAATATAGAAGACTTATTGATTCACTTCGATACCTTTGCCACACAAGTCCTAACTTAGCATACAATATGGGTATGGTAAATAGATTCATGCAGAAGTCAAAGGTATCACACCTAGTAGTGGCGAAGAGGATATTGAGATATCTAAAAGGAACTCTCGACTATAATATTTTATTTTCTATATCCGATGAAGGAAAAGAATGCAAGTTAGTGGGATACACTGACTCAAGTTAGTGTAGTGATGCTAAGGATAGAAAATCCACAGGTGGCTATGTGTTTATGCTAGGTGGTCCACTAGTTGCTTGTCATCATGTGAAGAAGAATACATAACTGCTTCTCTTTTGTACATGATAAGCAACCTGGATGGTGAACCTGGTCGAAGAGATCACATCGAAGAGTTATGGAGAAATTACCATGAAGATCGACAACATGTCAGCTATCAACTTGGAAAAGAATTCAATAGCACACGGTCGAAGCAAGCACACCAAAATGAGGTTCCATTATCTTTGAGAGTAGAAAGCATAAGGGAAGATGAACTTGGAACATTGCATAACTGATAATCAGATTGCAGACATCATGATGAAGGGAATGCCGGTCGAAGTGTTCAAGAAGCTAAGGTCTATGATGAATGTAGATAGTTTAGACACAATGAATTAGATGGTGTGTTAAATATGTAATTCATTGTTTTATAAAGATTTGATTTGATTTAGAAAGATCAGAGTTGATATAGAAATATTATTTTATATATTTTATGGCTTTTACAGTTTGGGCTTTAGCTTGAGATGCAAGTTAACCTAAACCTATAAATAGGGAGGAACCCATATCATTGTAATCATCAAGTTTGATGATTACAGTTTTGTAGTTGCAAAGTGATAATAAAATTCCACAGTTGTGGGC